GTCGCTAAAGTTTCGTTGGAACGAATTTACGGAAAATTAATTAACGAACGAACGGAGACGCAACAATATTATATAAACCATGAAAATTATATACTTAAAACAGTTTTCACATCGTGTGGAGTTATATGCTTTATTTGATTTTACAGTCAATTTAAGAAAATTTCAAAAAAACTCTTTAAGTCATTTTCGTGTCTGGGTAGGTGTTTGGTTGTGTGTTCGCGACCTGGGAGAGTCAGGTGCTGTATAAACCTCTTCCTCCCCTTTACTATTTTGTTGACTGACAAATGCTACACGATTAATTCACGAGATCAAGCACAAATATTAATATTAATTACACTAATCCTTTTATCCTCTTCAGGGCATTGTCCCTGAATTGTAAACTTACAGCAGTTAATGTTATCCACCACTTCACTTAGTTTCATCACATAATAGTCCACAAACAGTTCATTGGCAAACTTCACTTTTTACTAGACCAATTTACCAGGTACGTATTTTACATAAATACCCTATCAATACAATATTGATACGTTAATTTAGATGATATGGTAATATCTGGTTCAAGATGGCCTGTTTAGTGTGATACTCTGGATATTGTTGTATTGTGTCTATAATTTTTAGATGAGGAGAGAACTCAAGAATGTATGAATTATGTAAGGAATTACAGGCATGAAATGTTTCTTAGCTATTTCAATGAGTAAAGCAATGCTGTATTGCTTATTTTGTGAATTTGGATATTCTCCAATAAAATCATTAAATGTGTTTTTAAGTGCTTCTATTATAGGGTTGTTTTCTGTATTTGTAAGTAATGTTGCTGGTGTTTCTGGCATGACTGTTTGCGGGATATTTGTTGATTGAGCATTCATTTGATTTGTTATTAGACTGCTGTTCAGTGGCTCTTTTCACTTGTGACTGTGTTCGTTTTTATTGGATGAGATACTTGTTTACTGTTTGGTTGTGGGCAAACTGCTGCTGCATAAGTAAATAAAGTTGTGTGATGTATTGGTAGAAGTGGTGTTTTTGTAGTAAATTTTTGTGCATGATTTGTTTTCATGTATTGTGTATGTTGTAAATTCTTATTTTGATGTTTTTATATCTTGGACATCCTTTGCAATTTGTGGGGTGTTGTTGCTTACAATTACAACATAGAGGGTTTCATGTTCTTTTGGACAAGCTGGATTGTGATGGTCTCTACCACAGCCCAAACATTATGGGAGAGACTTACAGGCTGCTGCGACGTACCCGTAACATTGACAATTAAAGCATTGAGTTACGAACACGGCAGGTGTTTTAGCCTCTTCTACTCAAAATCTCTAATACCAGAGAATAATATTGTTTGATAATAGACTCTGGATATCCTGTGTTTCATGTGCATGAACTTTTATCATATTAGTTTGTTTTGTGTTTTATTTGAAATTATTCATCCTACTTTTATATAAGAAATGTTGTTTTGTGTGAATTCGTTTTGGACCTGTTCAGTTTCAATACTGATATGTATTCCTTTGATAACAAATGCTTTGACATTGGGCTTTGTTCCTGATAAATGTATTATGATATGTCCTGGCTCAAAGTCATCTTGAGGCAATTCTTTGAGAAGACTGTTTAGGTCAGCTGCCACGGTTCCTTAGCTAAACGTTTAATTGCTACTATTTTAACGCTAGGTTTGCAGCACTTGATTTCAGCTGTCAGGTGTGGCTCTTTGTATGTACTCAGAATACCTTCAATAATGGTTGAGTATTTGGGTGTTTGTGCCTGTTTTCTGGTTGTTTTTATTGTATATTTTTGCTTTGTTTGTCTGTGTATGTTGATGGTTTTTTGTTGTCTTTTTGATGTTACTAGTGTGAAACCGCCTGTTTCTGTGTATTTTCTGTTGTTTCATGTGTTTGTATATGTGTTGCAGTATCTAGGGTGATACTGTTGTCTGTGTTATTGTTTCTTGTTTTTGATAGTTCATCTTCTATTTGCTTGTTGTCATTTTGACACTCTATATTAGCATTGACCATCTCAATAGCTATGCTTTTACTTTATTCTCTTTGTTTGTTTGTTGTTTCTGGTAAACTAATTGGGCCATTAGTTTTAAAATTTACTCTAGTTATTGTCCTTTTTTTAATTATGCAGTCTAGATCTTTTTCAGCAAGTACAGCTAGGGAATTTAGTTGGGGACTTGCACTTATTTTACTACCAAAGTCACCCATACCAGGCTTACTTAATTTCTTTGAGAACGATGGAGTGTTGTTCCATAGCATCTTAATATATGTTAAGATCTTCTTGTCCTCTGAAGAACTGCTGAGTAATTCATTTTGCTTCACTGTCTTGTTGGTCAGTTTTAGAATCAACTTCAAAGTCACTACCTTCATCGCCCTAGGCAGGTCAGGAGGGTGTTACTATTTCTCAGTTAGTCAGTTTGTTGGATAATCCAGCTCGCCAACGTCGAGAGGTAAATGTTGATCATTAATCTTACTCACAAAATGTAACTGTTGTGGTCTAACGGTTTTAGGATACATATGTTTAAGATTCGGTCTGGTTTGTTTGTTTAGAATTTCGTGCACGAGGGCTATATGTACTAGCCATCCCTAATTTAGCAATGATAAACTAGACAACCAGTCAACACTACCCATTACCATCTTCTTGGGCTACTCTTTTACCAATGAATAGTGGGACTGATCATCAGGTTATAAAGCCCTCAAAGCTGAAAGAGCAAACATGTTCAGTGACAGGGATTCAAATCTGTGACCCTCAGATTGCGAGCCGAACTCCCTAACCACCAGGCCATGTTAGGCCTTTAAGATTCGGAAATACTGTTAGGATAGTTTCATTTTCCTAAACCTAATATGGTAAGCTGTAGTTTTCATTTAATGTTCTAGAAGGAGCTAATTGTGAAGATAATGCAATATATCTAGAAAGTTCATGAAAAAATTAAGACCTCGTCCACTCTAGAAATTTTGTGCAGTATGTAGAAACAATGGAATAATATAAATACAAACTCGGTGAAATTTTGAGTCATTTCGTCAGTTTATAAATATTCAAGAAATGATTTAAGTGTTGCTGTTATTGATTTCTTTGCAAAGCTGCACAATAGGCTATATAGACTCTGTCCATCGTGAGGTCGGTGGGGAATCAACCCACATATTTTAATGGTGTAAGGTCGTTAATCCCACGAGTTCAGTGTTAGGAGTGAGAATTATTGTTAGTGTCACTGTTTATCGATCCGTTAGCTTTTAGAAGTAATTTTATAAGTAAGTTGGGCGTATGTGCCATTAGTCGAGAAATTCCTGTTGAAACGTTTGAAGTTAGGCCTACATTAATTTATGTTGAAAAGTTGATTTATGAAATTAAGTCTAAAAGTGAACGAGGCAGTAGCTAGCAAACGTTTATTGAAGAAATATATTAACTGGTTATCGTTACGTGGCCTGGACTTCACATTAGTTCTACCAAATAAACCAAAAGAACCCGCATAACGATAGAACACGTTACAACAATAAATATGGAACTCACTCTTTGATTAAATTCACTATTTGTCACTGACTTATTAGGTTGTCGGGAAATTTCACCCCTAATCACTAACCTTGTACAAAAGACAATTTGGAAAATACATATAGTTTTATTTTTCAAACAGGGCGATTGCATGGTTTATGAGATGAATTGCCATGGCAGTAGTGGAGGTTGGCAGTTTACAAAGAGTTTAAAAAGGGAATCGACCATTTTCTGAAGAATAAAGGGTGAATTTATATTTATACATTTTCTCAAGAATGAGTTTGAAAGGACAGTCTTGGAGGACTAAATGCTCCATTGTTTTCCTTTTTATAATTTTTCTATCGTTCTTGACTTTTGTGAGTGTGAGAAAGATACGACATATGCGTCCTCTAGTAGTAAAAGTTTGTTTTAAGATGGCGGGAAGAAGCGAGGTGAGCCATGTGTTCGAATGATGATAAAAGTAAGTTAAGATGTGAAATGGTCAGAGAGTAAAAGTAATCTATAAAAATAGTATGAGCGGCAAGTCAAATGCACCGTAGTTCAGCAAAGTATGGAACAATTAAACTGGAACTTGGGAGTTATTACGTTTCCTATATTCCTCGGGTGAATCGCCCTAAACTAGGCAGGCAAAAGTCACATATTTTCAGTTTTTTCCATGACAACTATATTCACTTTAATTTACTACTACTGAGTACTGGTAGGAGTGCTAGAGTTGTGACATTTTGTATCGTGAAGTTGTGTAGCTCGTGGTTGTGCCTGAGAAGATGTTTTTTCTTCGCTGTTTTACTGTCTTATGCGATCAATTTGACTTTTGGTTTTAAGTTGTGAATTTTCGTTTGTGGGTTGACGATATAAACTTCATACTGTAATTACAGTGCAGTGAGAAATCTGTAGTGTGGATTCGATTAAAATACAGCTTGTGTACTCGACCAACTACATTTCCAAGTTCAAGAAGTGTCGATTTGCTAAAGTATAATTTGTGTCTAATTTTTTGTACAAACTTACTAAACTGTCTAATGTAAGCGTGCAAATTATTTTTAAATGGTATTAATATTACATTAACATTGGATAAATTGATAATATTAAAATTTTATTACTAGATTTTCTTAAAGTTAAAATTAAATGGATCGTAAACGCTCATTTGTAGACTTAGACCCTGATTACACAAGTATTGACATAGATTCTAGAGAAAAAAAACTAAGAGTTTGTGAAGAAGATGCTAAGAAAGTTAACACTAAAAAGATAAAACAAATACTCGTGAAAGAGATTGAAGAAGAAATTTCATATAAAGAAGTGGAACTAGATAGAATAGATAAAATGTTGAGTAAGGCTCGTATTATAACAGACCGTCTAAGAGCCTGTATAATAGCAAAGTATTATAGTTCAACATTTTCAGACTCAACAGATCAGTCATATGCTTGTGCTAATACTTCATACGTTTTTTCTTCTGTTCATCCTACTCTGAAAAAGCAACTTGGAAAATGTATTCCTTACTCACATGTAGACATAGAAGTGGATAATAGACCTAAGAATGAAAATGAAAACTATAAGACTAATGAAATTATTAAACAAGAAAATTGTAACAGCACAGAAGAACCAACATCAGTGCACTATTCATCTTTAGTGCCAACTACAAATGTTATAAAAACAGACAATATGGCATCAAGTTTTATTTCTGAATATGGTGTACCTGTCATTAAAGATTTTGGAGGAGGTCGATTTAGGTTTAAAGAACATCATATTTTTGTTGTTGGAAATGTATCTCGATACATTGCTCCTGACAGCAGACCCGAAAGTGATAAAGCTACTCACAAATGGATGGTTTATGTCAGAGGAACTAAAGAACATCCAGACATTAGTGGTACAGTGAGAAAGGTTTTGTTTTTTTTGCACCCTAGTTACAGACCAAATGATTTGGTTGAGATCAATTCTTCCCCTTTCCAATTGATCCGTAGAGGATGGGGAGAATTTCCTGTCAGAGTTCAACTTCATTTTTGGGACACACGCAACAGACCTGTAGATGTAATTCATAACTTAAAGCTGGATAAGACTTACACTGGTCTTCAGACATTAGGTGCTGAAACAGTATTTAAAGTTTGGTTATTATCTACCAAGTATGAAGACAAGAAGTTGCCTGTTCCACTGTCTGGTGAAGAAAAAGAAACTACAAATCATGATACCAGAATTTTGTCTTCAGAGAAAACTGAAGAGGGGGTACCCGATTTAGAAGAATGTAACAGTATTCCGCAGATAGAAACAACTACACAAGAGAACATGAATGATGTCAAGAAGGAAGTAATGAAAGTATCATCAATTCAGAATCAACCATTAGAAAAAAAAGAAATACCAAACCAAAATAATGATAAAGCCTCAACTCCAAATAATCAGATTTGTTCATCAATTAATACAGAAGATATGACACATTTTTATGCCCAAAATACTTTGTCTTTGAATGCTACTACATCAGTAAAAACCAGCAGCATTACTCAAAATAAAAAATTATCTTCCACAAATGTGTTTATCCCTTGTTTACGTACTGTTAATGGAGAAAAATATTTGATTCTTGTACCCTCTTCTTCATTACCAAAGATACCAACTTCAACATTACAACTTGCCAAACCTGAATCCTCCATTACAGAAGGTACAAGTGATAATTGTGTTAAAACAATTCAAAGTAGTTTGATCAGATCTGTTACCACCACTGGAAAGAACACTGGAATTGCTAAATCTGTTCCGAAAAAACCATTACAATTAATTGTGGTTTCTAAGAAAGCATCAGTAGAAAATTCTATGGTAACTGGAACAGAAAAAGCTAGCCAGCTTAATGACCTAAACTTCATCCATTTGCCAGAATGTAAAACATCTCCAACACTCTTGTCAAACACATTAGTTAATAAACATAATAAAGGCCTTATTATAGATAAAGAATCAACCTTAAAACTAAAAGAACCCCCTTGTGATCCAGTGAGTTTAGTAAAGAGTTCACTAAATGAACATGTTTGTGTTGATACTTACAGTTTCTTGAAACATCTGTTGAAATTATTTCCTCTGGTGAATAAAGATGTTGATCGTTCCATCCATCCATACTGTGCCTCATCTTTAGAGCAATTCTTTTCGTGGACACTTGGAAAACAACGAGCTTCTGAATGGCAGAGAGCAAGACATGTACATCAGACTGCTTTACAAGTTGTTGAGGAACATGACTCCCTACTGAAATTTAAAGACGAAATAGGAAACACAAAAAAAATAGCATGGTGGTGTCGTAAGTTTGGATTTACTCCTCTCGCTCTAAAAGCTAGAAGTGATCCTTTCCTTGTGGATTTGAAACACTTAACTACATATTCCATGCCTGATAACATTATTAATCACCTGGTTCAAGATTACCACAAAGTTCAACATAATATTGAAGAAGTAAATGTGGATGTGGTTACTGTTCAGAACACTGATGACAATGTGGAATCTAAAAAAGGAAAACTTAGTATAGTATCCAAAGTTTCTTCACATCTTGACACTTCACACTTTCACATACCTTGTTCTTCTGCAGCAGAGGAAGTACGAAATATTGCAGCAGAAATTGGTGTACAACTAGAAGCCCAAGAATTATGTCCACCAGTAAAGTGTTCAGTATTAGAAGAAATGCTGCTTTCTGCCTGCAGGGAGTTTGCTAGTGACATTTTAAGAATAGCCATTAGTAAATACTATGAAAGGATGAGCTGTCATCCAGATATTATAACTGTTAGTGATATTTTCCAGGCAATTCAAGTACTACCAGAGAATGACTTCATTACTAATAGTAATCTAGGCACTTTACACTCAAATGTAGGTTAAAATTAGGCATCTTATCACAAGGTGGTCTTTTACAGTAAACTTGTGAATCATGGTACTTGAAATCTAGAAACAGCCATGAAGAAAAATAGTTATCTAAGCTCTTTTTTTTGGACAACAAAAATAATTTTGCTTTTGCATTTATAGGGTGTTAACCCTTGGTAAAAAATTCATATTTAGCAAGATTTAAGCAAAAAAAAAGGTTTTCTGTAGCTTACCATTGTCTGTCTTCAAATTCTGGGAAAATTTCTTTATTAAAAAAAATTAAAATTTTTACCTGACAATGTAGTTTAGGAATTACAATATGCTTTGATATTCTGTCAGTCCTGATAAAAACTAGGTAATTATGAATTATTTTGTGGTGATTTCAAATAAGGTTGCATTAAAATATATTTGTGTATGATTGTAAACCTGTGATATCAATTTTTACTTCATGATAATCAGTCCAGTTTTGTATAAGATGGAAAGTATGGTAAAATTGTCACGGCCACCAGTATTTTCATAATAATTCATCAACTGAAAATTGAGAAAAGTAGCATAACAGTAATGTTTAAGGAAAGTGTTTTAGCCTCAAAGGATGAGCTACTTACATTGTTGATTAGTGTGATTTGAAAAAGATTTTAATGATTTACAAAAATATTACCGTAAGCAAAATAACTGAAAACTGTTATCCAAAACATATCTTAAATGCACAAATTTCCTCTTAGCATATGTGGACATATGTACTTCTAGAACAATGTACTGTATAAATTTTTGTTTTCCATCTATATTAGTTTGTATTTTGTGGAAAGTTTAATAGAACTGAATAATCTTAGGTCTACTGTGCATATATATATATATGTATATACATTTTCAATACTGGTAATTTTCACCTTAGAAATAATTTGAAAATGTATTATAGTGTATTTGGATCAATACTGTATGGATTAAAATAATCCAGTACTTTGGACAACTATCATCATTTTAGCTGACAAAAATGGCAGAATGTAGATTTTTTAAAAATTTTAGTAAACAATAATAAAGGCCAAAAGTTAGAGTCCAAAATATAGTACAATTCATGTGTATGTTTCAATGTTTCTAAGTGTTAATTAATCTGTATTACTTTGGTTTATATTAATCCAACTTAGACATTGAGGTAGATACCTGCTAAAAAGAACATTAATAAAATGTTTAACCTGTTTTTTACTACTACGTTTCCTTCATCGTCTTAGTAAAATCTAACAATAATGACACTTGCATATTCCGAGATCTCACATAATATGAAAAGTATAAAAGAAATGCTTTTCATTTTTATTTACATTCCACTAATGTTATTTGTAAGATACATAATTAATTGTAGGAATATTTTTTTTAAAAACTTAGATGAAACTCACCCCATATATACAACTGAGATAAGTGGAGTAAATGCTTTGACAGTAATAAAAATGTCATTATTACTGCACTAAAAGCTTTCTCGATAGTCTAAACCAAACTTGCATGAATTTGTAAAATGATGCTGTACTTAGAAATAATAATATTCATTTAGTATAAAAAATAAAAAAACATTGATCATGAGCTGACAATTACCATGTCCTTTCCCATGTAATGTAAAAATGCATAGTTGTACATGTATGTTGTGATGCTTTTAAATTGTGTCTGATATGTGCAATGATTAACTTCTCACACCATGAATATTTCACTAGAATTGTTCAGCTTTACCTAGTACTTTGGTTAATCCTTAAGGCAGTTAGGACAAGATTTGAGTTTATTATATGTTGAAAACTTGAAAGATTAGATTGATGTACTCTCTTTTAAGATGTGTTAAAGGCCCAAACAAGATTATAACAAATACACAGTTTACTGATTTTATGCTTTTCTTTAATAACTAAATCGATACGTGTAATTCCTCTAACTGCTAACCTGAACAAGTTTCTACTAAAGACATATAGGAAATTACTTTCAAAGGAAAAACCTATGCTTGAACATAAGGTGGTTGTAATGTGTACAGGACACTTTTGTGTACAGATGTCTTTATTATGGTGGAAAACATGTATTATTATTGCATGTTTGAATGCAGATGTTTTTTCCTTAGGCTTATTAATCATGTATTTAAATTCAAATGCAAAATCATACTGAGTATTTTAAACATTGATAGTGATGATAATAGTGCCCAACATTAAGTTAAATTTTCATAATTTATCGACATTTTCATCCATCTAGATGTTTCTACATTGTATAGGAATACTATTACAACTTCTTTAGTCAATCTTTAAACTACCACCATACACACTTAAATAAACTTGCAACAGTTGTTAAGTTAGAATCAGAAGGTCATATATCACAACCTTCAGTCATCAGGCTCCACTGTGTGGTAAAGGGCATCCCAGGGACATTTTACCCTCTCTGGAATCCAAACATCCACCATGTGTTTGCTGCTATGACAACCTTTAAATTTAATTGGTCATTTATTGCTAGGATCAACTGAATGCCAATGTTTGACATCCTCAACTGATGTTGTAAACATTATGTTTGGTACTGGTATTCTGTTATAATGGCTACTGTGTTGAGCTTTTGACAGTGTAGGACTCCTTTGTGAGTTGGGTCAGTGAGCACATAATTTGTTTTTATCCAGTATGTATACAAAAATATCTACTTCACAGATTAGCTACAAAGCAACCACAAGCAGATGATTCTGTCATTAAGTCACCATTCTATGCTATTTTGTTACCTTGGTTTCTAATTTTACTTTCTTTGTCAGAAAGTTCTCTTTAAACGATGTTTTCCTTCTTTGTACAAAAGGAGCTTGCTGGCTCTCCAAAGATTGTAAAGAAATTAGATATGGGAACTTTCTGGTCAAACCATAAAGACCTCATAGCAGTAAATTCCTTCTCTGATTGAAGAAATGAAGGAATGTAAGCTATTAAGAAAATCTCCACTTGAATTGAACAATAGAATTAGTAAGTTGACTGTAATGTTTATTTTGACCTTTACATCTCTTTATGCACCTGTGAATGTTAAAGCAGATTTTATTTGAAATGTTACATTCAGCCCTAAATTTGAAACCTCCTCTGATATTTTCACTGTCAGAGGCTTGAACACACTAAAACATATTGCCATGGAATCTTAACCTGTGTTTGTTGTGGTGACAAAAACTGATAGGAACAAGTGTTATTTGGAACCACACTCACCTGTACTGGTCTTACTCTAGATTACGTCCAAAATTGTTTGTTTTTTCATGTGGCACAGAAGATGGTGACAGAGTTATGTTACTGCATTCCGTTCTGTTGCTGTAGTGACGGTGCTGACAGATCTCTTCTTTTTTTTTACCCTCAGACACAGTCATATTTTACCCAACTGAACTTTTGTCCTCCATGAATAAGCAGGAGGATAAATTCACATCTTGCTTGATCTCTGCTGCTGCCATGTAGCACCAGTGAACAATCAGGGCTAGTTCCATTTGTTTTGATGTGCAGGACCATTACTTGGTCTTGTCCTTGCTAATTGTAAACCCATCATTCTGATGCCCTTTCAATCTCAGGCAGTGTCCACAAAGGCCAATACACCAGCAATGGGGAAAAAGAAAGGTGATAACAAATTCAAACAGCTGTGTTTTAATCTAGATCTCCTGAACATTCTAGGTGAAAATGGCTACACTTATACAGTGTAACTGATTAGAGTTTTGTGTTAATGTAGATAACATAAAAGTCTCGATTGATTCTTACCATTCTGTGTGCGTTTCATAGCAGGAGACATTTCTGAAAACTACTGAACTATCGCC